AGAGAGAGGAAATACCAAGTTGGGCTCTAGGCTGACACCATGGGCTTGAACTCATGAACTGTGAGATCATGACCTGAGCTGAAACTGAGAGTCCAACCAACTGAGCTACCCAGGCACCCCCCTCAAAGACCCTATTTCTAAATAAATCCACATTCTACAGTTTTCATTGAACACGAGTTTGGGGGAGACATTATCTAACCCAGTATAATGTGTGGCCCATTGCAGAAAATGGACAAAGGGGGTGGTTATCCATTTATAAGATGGAAAATTTATTTATTATTAACTTGTTTTTCTTACTACAGCTAACTATGTAATGACTGTTGACAATCAAAAGCAAATTTGACCTTTACCTTATCCTCAAGGACAGTGGCTCCCACGTGCTGTACCATGGAACAGCACATGTCCAGGGGATTTTCACAGCAAGGCATCTTTTCCCATAAACTCTGCAGGCTCTAAGGTGAGGCCCCCAGGGCCAGCCTCAGCTAAGAGTCACTGACTAGGAGCTTCTTTTAGGCACATGGATTCACAGTTCATGATCTCACGATGCGTGAGTTCAAGCCCCATGTCAGGCTCTGTGCTGACAGCTCAGAGCCTGGAGCCTGCTTCAGGTTCTGTGTCTCCCTCTCTCTCTCTGCCCCTCCCTGCTCGCTCTCTGTCTCTCTCTCAAAAATATATAAAAACATTTATAAAAAAGTATTTTAAAAAAACAAGAGAAATAGGGTCTTTGCAGGGGTGCCTGGGTGGCTTAGTTGGCTGTGTCCAATTTCAGCTCAGGTCATGATCTCACAGTTCATGAGTTTGAGCCCCTCATCGGGCTTTGTGCTGACAACTCAGAGCCTAGAGCCTGCTTCAGATTCTGTTTCCCCCTCTTTCTCTGCTCCTCCCCCACTCACACTCTGTCTCTTTCTCTCAAAAATAAATAAACATAAAAAAAAAAGAGGGTCTTTGCAGACATAATTAGATGTAATTTGTTAAGGATCTTGAGATGAAATCCTCCTGGATTTAGGGCAGCCCTAAATCCAATGATTAGTCTTCTTATAAAAAGAAGAAGGGACACAAAGAGACACAGAGCAAAGGAGGCCATGTGAAGACAGGCAGAGATTGGAGTTGATGCAGCCACAAGCCAAGGAATGCCAGGAATGGCCAGAAGCTGGAAGAAACAAAAGCATCCTCCCTTACAGCCTTCAGAGGACGCAGGGCCCTGCCAGCCCTTTGATTTTGGATTTCCAGCCTCCAGGACTGTGAGAAAATAAAGTTTTGTTGTTTTAAGTCACAGAGTGCTGACAGAGCTGGGAAAGTAATGCAAACATCTTTTCCTTTTTATGCCTCTCTTCTCTTTCTTCCAGAGCCTGCAGCAGCAAGGCGACTATGTTCCACAGGAGCTTCTGTGTGGAACCTCTTTCTGGACCACGTGACACATCTTCACAAACTCCTCGCTGGCTCTCAGGCTTCACGTGTCGGTCATCGTTCACCATCTTGACTTCTAACCCTGTGCCATTTCTCCTGCATTTGCTTCTGCTTGCTTCCTTGTGCCCTGAGTGTGTTTGTGCAGGCAGCTGGGTGCTTTGTCTGCTGCCTTTTTCCCCCCACGTGAGGCCCAAGGAGGCTCAGAACCAACCCAGTGGATTTACTTCTGGAAGAATCAGTTATGTCCAGGTCTTTTCTAAGACAGTCCTGTTCTTACTATTCATCTTCTTGCCTCAGCATTCAGGCATTTGCCACCAGTATTTATAATTACTGGCCCATTTCAGAGTCTCTCTCTCTCTCTCTCTTTTTAACCAAAACAATGTCTCTGTATTTGGTGACCCTCCCTGGCCCCTGTATGTCTGCTCTGGGGCTATAATAATCCCCTACTAAATTCAAGGCTAAAAGCAGACCCTCACTGCTCTCTTTAAGACAGCCAACATCATACCTTAATCAGCCAAGAAAGTACACGAATATTTACCGAGCACCAGGTTAAGGGCCCAGCACTGCATTGGAGGGTTTCATGAGTACATATCACCACGTATCCACCAACAGAAAGGAGGGAAATCCCTTAGTCTTCCTTTCCAGCCCTCTGGCTCTCCCCAAATGCTGGCCCTCTAAATTCCTCAGGGCACCCCCCACACTGCAGACAGGATCTGTTTCCCTGCTCAGATACTTGGAGTTTCTCCAGCTAATGTAGAAACAGAGGAGAAAATAATTCCCTGCCTTTCCTGCACCCTATTTTTGTCTTTTGGGTAATAATCAGAGGAAATGAAACCAGCTATGCATACCTTAAAGCCCCCTGTCCTGGGTTGTCCTCTCTGGCCCCTTGCCCAGCCTCTGCTTGTTCCCAAAGGCAGCCTGCTGAGGCTGAGCAAAGCTACCTCTGGTGCAGGGGCTCCCTGGAGTTGCCAGGCTACAGGGAGTTCTGGAGGGCTTGCAGGAGAGGGGCGCGGGCAGCAGGGGTGATGGGGATTCTCAGGGAGCTCGGGCAGTAGCCATTGCCAACTTGTATAGACAAATTTATCATTTTAACAACCAATATGGCCACACTGATGGGTGCCCAAGGATATGAGCCCGGCCTCACGGTGCCACCAATACTGAACAATTTAACTCTCTGAGATCTAAATTCTTCATGCATCAAAGGAAGCATATTTGTCCTGCCTACCTACAGTATTATTATGGGTCATAGTCTGTAATGAATCCTCACTGCTGAATTGCAGAATTTAGATGACTTAAAAAAATTTTTTTAGGTTTATTTTTTTGAGAGAGAGAGAGAGAGAGAGAGAGAGAGAGAGAGAGAGAGAGAGAGAACACAAGCCAGGGAGGGGCAGAGAGAGAGGGAGACACAGAATCTGAAGCAGGCTCCAGGCTCTGAGTTGCAGCCTGATGCGAGGCTTGAACCAATGGACCTCAAGATCATGACTGGACTCTTAACTGACTGAGCCACCCAGGCACCCTAGATGACTTTTTTTGGTTGTTGTTAATGTTTATTTATTTATTTTGAGAGAGAGGCAGAAAGAGAGAATCCTAAGCAAGCTTCGCGCTGTCAGCCCAGAGCCCCATGAATCGAACCGCGAGATCATGACCCGAGTCAAAATCAAGAGTTGAACACTTAAACCAACTGAGCCACCCGGGCGCCCCAGAATGCAGATGAGTTTTACATAAATGTTACCTTTATATTCACCAGGACTAGCTGTATGACCTTGAGCAAATTATTTAATTTTTCTGTGCGTGTTTTCTCATCTGTAAAACAAGAGGTAAAAATAGCCCCTAACTCATAGGTTCGTCGTGAAGATTACATGAGTTGATACACATAGGATGACTAACACCATAATAATGATTAGGTGGCACTGAGCTGCCAGCTACTGAAGTCCTAGAAGTTGAAGGAGAGGTGTGGGCTCCAGTTATAAAATGAAAGCCCCGAAGAAGACCAGAAAGGGAGGTTGTACTTTTGTTCTGTTTAGTTTGGTGGATATTTGTATTACTAGATGCTGATAGCTACTAAAATGAACAGAAAAGGCAGAGAGGATTATTTTTCAGCCCTCACAAGCCTTCTAAAAAGTTGTCTCTAACTTCCTGAGTCATCAAATACCATGCGCTGTCTTTTCTTGACAACCTTGTTATTTTTCCACTATTCCCTGAGGGGACGTTGGGCAAATCATGTCACTTTCCAGAGCCTCACTTGCAATTCTGTCAAACAAGGACAAACAAGTGAGAATCAAGCAAAATAAGGTATATGGGAGTCCTTTGAAAATGAGGAACGTTGTATGAATGTTATGGAGGAAGACATTTTATGATTTATTAAATACACAAGCACAAACATCTCTTTAAGGTTGGAAATGCTCCCATAGGAGGCATTAAAGCCTCGAGAGAGACAAGACCTATGGAGACAGTCAAAAGGATGAAGACTATGTATCGTGAAGGCAGGTAGACCAGAAGGCTGGAGAGTGACTTAACAACAGTGCTTACCTACAGAAAAGGTTAGACAGGATTATGGTCAACTCTTTCCATCTTCACTGATGACAGAATACAAGAAAATGGGCATTAACGACAGGGATTTAGATTAGCCATAAAGACTTTTTCTGCTGGTGAGGATTTTCAAAGATTGAATGCCTGGCTCGATCTGCTTGGGGTTTCTTCCCCGAAGGTCCATAGATTTGGTATGCAGTAAGGACATGAGAATCAGCACTCGGGGGGCAGATCAGAGGTTTTCTAGGACTGAGGAGCTCCGGGTGGGAAAGGAAAGGGAACCAACCTCCCATTCCCGAAAAGATTCCCTATGTTCCCAAACTGCCATGTCCACATCCACACTTTTCTTGAACAAACTTAAATTTTGAGCTTTTGTCAATTTACTGATTCATGGCCATCCTTTATCTAAATTAGCATTCTTGCTTATTAAAGGATTGTTGCATTTACAGGTTAGGGGCACAGACATGGAAGTGGAAAATTCTATGTTCCCATCCTGATTTTGCCCCCTTCCAGTTGTGCTGCCCTGGTTAATTAGTTGATTGCTTTACATTGATTTCCTTATCTGTAAAATGGAGATAATAAAAGTTCTTACCTCAAGGGGACTGTCAGCATACTTGGCACAGAGCAAATGCCCCAAAGTGGTGGCCAATATTATGCTAAAGCGACCTTGACATAGTTTCAAAGAGGTGCCTCTTAGATCTTGCACTTGGAGATTTGTTTGTTCTATTAGCTCAGCGTTTTAGACTCACCCACTTTCTAGTCTGCAGTGTCTTCTTTTTTATCTAAAAAAAAAATGTGGGGCGCCTGGGTGGCGCAGTCGGTTAAGCGTCCGACTTCAGCCACGTCACGATCTCGCGGTCCGTGAGTTCGAGCCCCGCGTCGGGCTCTGGGCTGATGGCTCAGAGCCTGGAGCCTGTTTCCGATTCTGTGTCTCCCTCTCTCTCTGCCCCTCCCCCGTTCATGCTCTTGTCTCTCTCTGTCCCAAAAAAAAATAAGTGTTGAAAAAAAAAATAAAAAATAAAAAAATTAAAAAAAAGTATTCTCACTAGAAAATACATCTCTTTCCCTGTTTACTCTAGTTGCAATTCTCTGAACTTTCTCAAACTCCATTACGTCTGCCTTGAAGGGAAGTGACCTGGAATTGTCCAAGCGATGTCCTCCCCAAAGGCAGAAGGATGGATTGAATAATTTATTAAGGTACCTTCTGGCAAAATGAATCTATGCAATGATGCTTAGGTTAAGGAATTTTTGTTTGCAGCCCGCCTCATCGGTTAGCAGAGATCTCATTGTAACACTAGAGGTCACTGTTAAAGCAATATTTCAAAAGCATAAGCCTTACATCAGCAATAAAATTGAGAAAAAATCCTTCAGAACATGGCAAGGGAAAAGATATTATATGGATAGTTTGAGGGCAGCAGCTGGGATTTTGTCAAGTTCCTAAATTGAAATCTGTTTCTAATCTCTTCTTGTTTCTCACCCCTAGAAAACAATTCCGCTTTCCCTGTGGTAGTAAGACCTCTACCTGGGAAGACCTAGGACTGAGAAATCTGCTCTGCCTGGCCTGCTGACTTGCAAATCAACCTCTCCTGCCCAGACACATGAGCCAAGCCTACTTCTGTATTTCTGAGCATCTTCAACTCCCTTCCATTTACCAATCTTCCCTGTCTGCACCTGCCACTCAAAGCCTGCTAAACAGGAATGGGAGAATCTGCTTCCCAGACCCTTCACCTCCTCCAATTTCACATCCAAGTAGACTCCCTTCTTAACTTCCCCACTGGTAATTAAGACCAGATTCAACCTGCAACTTCAGGCCCTCCATTCACCAAGTCCTGTTGATTTTACATCCTACCTGCCTTCTGTGCAATTGGAGTAATGGCCGTACTCCCTTCCCTGTGTTGTGGAGATCAGATAAGGCTACCGTTAGGCAGCAGCCAGAAGAGGGCCCAGTGTTAGGCCACCCCTGTGCCAGAATCACACCTCTCCCAGCAGCCATCCAGGGGGATCCCAGAACATGTGTAGCTCCTGTCAAGATCCCTCGGTCCCTCCCAATCTGCCAGGGCTGACCTCACCATGTCCCCTATCCTCACTGATGTCCCTCCCCATGAGACCCCCAGGTGACCTCTCATCCCTGGGAGTCTAATGCCCACCCTATTTCCTGACCTCATCTGGCATTCCTCCCCATCTCCGGCCCTCTGGAACTTGGGTCAGTCATCGGCAGAATCTTCCTTTCACTCTATCTCCTCGGAGTGTTCCTTTCACCTCCCTAACTGAAACTTGGCTCTGTCCCCTAGGGACACTGCTTCCCCTGCAGCCTCTGCAGTGGTGGTTGGATCTCTTCCATGGGGCTGGAGGTGGGATGGAGCTCTTTTTGCTCCTTGTTGCTACCTCTAGACCAGGCTCCAGTCATTGTTACCACATTTTGATCATTTTGATATCTGTCTCACCTTCACTTTCCCCAGAATCTTAGTCTTAGTCATCTCAAAGGACACACAGATCAGCTTTCCAACGCTCTGATTTCTCCTCCAATGACCCTGTCCTCCACCTACCGGACCTCAATTGCTCACCCCCACGGCCTTACCTTAGACAAGCACTGGCCAAAGGAACTTCGGGAGCTCATGATGGAAATATTTAATCTACTCTGTCCGGATGGCATAGCCTTAGTCACAAGTGGTTGGTTGCTAAACACCTGAAATGTGACTAGTGCAACAGAAGGAAACAGGTTATAAATTTTATTTAATGTTTAACTAATTTAAATGTGAAGCATCTATCTATGCTTGTATTCTCCTTGTGCTGTCCTGCTTCTATAGCTGAACTTAGCTCTATGCTAAGATCAACTCGCTTCCAGCGTCTTAGAGCCCGCCCCTCTCACTACTAAATTCTCCCCCCTTTCTTCATCAGTTTCTCGGTCTCCACAAGGTCATTTCCATCAGCTACACACATACTGTTGTCTCTCCTGTCTTAAGAAAAATCTCCCCATCTCCCCATCTTGGGACCCCAGCTCCCCATCTTGCACTGCTGTATTCCCCTCATTCTCTAGAGCAAAACTCCCAGAGAGAATGGTCTACACTCACAGACACCAACCTCTCTCCTCCTATTATTGCTTGAATCTCCACTCAGAAAGTGCTCTTGACATAGTACCCATGACCCCGTATTGATAAATCCAGTAATTATTTCCCAACCCTCATCTAACTTGATCTATCAGCAGCATTGTACGGATTCTTGACTCTCTTCTCCTTGGAACTCTTTCTTCACTTGGCTTTCAGGACAGCACGCTTGCCTGGTCTTTCTCCCGCCTTTCTGGCTGCTCCATCTTTCTGTCCTGTAATAGCTTCTTCTTCAATTCTACAACCTCTGAATGTCAGCAGGCCCAGGGGTTAGTCCTGGGACCCTTTCATTTTTCTACCTATTCGCTCCTTAGCCGATCTCACCCAGTCTCATGGCTTTAAACATCACCTACATGCTGAAAATTCCTGCATTTTTATATCTCCAATGCAGACCACTCCTCTGAAGTCCAGCCCAAATTATCCAGCTGCCAACTTGACATCCCTAATCTAACAGGTCCCAAACTGAACTCCCAATGTCTGCTTCCCTGCAAAAATAGCTTGCTCTTCCTACAGTCTTCTCCATGTCAGTTAAAGCCAATTCCATTTTTTTCCAGCAGCTCAGCCAAAACCATTAGAAATACCCTTGGTGTCTCTCTCTCGATCGTGTACACACACACACACACACACACACACACACGCGCGCGCGCGCACACACTATATCTGATCCATTAGCAAATTTTATAGACTTTGTGTATCTTCAACTGTAACCGGAAAGTGATCACTTCTCATCACCTGCATTGCAACCACTGTGTTCGGAGCCACCATCGTCTCTCTCCTGGATTACAGCACTAGTGGTTTCTCTGATCCTGCCCTTGTTTCTGCAATCTAGTCTCAAAAATCAGAAAAAATTCAAGTTACATCATGTCACTCTTCTGCTCAGCATGTTCCAGTGACAGTCACTCGGAGTAAAAACCAAAGTTCTTATCATGGCTTTCAAGGTCCCATGAGACTGGGACCCTATTATTGCTTTTACCACTTTCATAATTTCTCTTCCCCTCCTTCACCTGAGACTGGCCAAACCAACCTTCCCACTGCTACTGGAACTTATCACGTATGCTCCTGCCTCCGGGACTTTGCACCTGCTATTCTCTCTGAATGGAAGACTCTTCCCCAGATATCTTTGTGGCTAGGTCCCTCATTCCTTTAGGTCTATTCAAATCTCACCTTTTATTGAGGTCTTTATGGACTCTGCTATCTAAGATTTTTACACCCCTCCTCAACACTGCATTTTCCCTTTTCCTGCATTATTTTTTCCCTTTAGCTCTTAGCACTATCTAACTATTTTTTTTTAATTTAGCTTTTTTATTGTCTGTCTCCCCAAGTAGAATATAAGCTCTATGAGAGCAAGGATTTTTGTTGGTTTTTTTATTCACTGCTATCTCTGGATCTGTGTCTGTGATATAGCAGAAACTCAGCTATTTATTGAATGAATTAATAAAATAATTCCCATCGCATCCTTGGAACAGTGCCTAGCATATAGTAATTGTTTTATGAATCTCAGTTGGTATTTTTTAATTTCTTTTACTATCATCTCCACCACTACTCGAATGGGGCCTCCTTCCATCCCTGCAGCAGTTTGCAAGCCTCAGACTCTCACCCTCTCCGGCCTTGACTATCTCTTTGGTCTCAAAAGTTGTCTTCTAGCCGCTGGTCTTGCCTCCTGGAGACCTACCCACTGCTTCCATAGTTTGCTTCTCGAAAACAAATTTGATTCTTTCATTCCTCCTATGGTCTCTGAAAGCTCAGTTCTCACTGTTTCCATGAAGCCTTGCTGTCCACTCCAACAAACACCAGGTCCCCTTCTCAACTCCAATGGCACTCACTGTTGATGCCAAGCAAATTCAACACTTGTCAGTATACTGAGCTATCATTTCAATTCAATCTGCTGGGCTATAATATAGTGCGCTGTTATTTAGTATTTTCATGAGGGTTCATTGTTTCTCCTCAATTCATTTCTATTCCCCAGAACAATCTAATACTGCTTTTGTATAGTGCTTTAGCAACAAAGAATTGGGCTAGAAAGAGTATTGTATGAGCCCCTATGTCTCCATCCACAGCATGGAAGGGCTTAATAAAGAGTAGGTTCATCCTGTTACACGCTAGCTGAATTTTCAGTACTTACAGCCCACATAACAGACAGCACAGAGGCTTCAGGGTCAGACTAGTTCTGTCACTTTATGACCCAAATGAGAGACTTGTATAATGAGCCTATTGCTTCACTTGCACAAATGAGAAAATACCTAAAACACATGGTTATGTGAGCATTAAAAGTACTCATAAGTAGGGGCACCTCGCTGGCTCAGTTGGTAAACCATTGAACTCTTGATCTCAGGGTTGTGAGTTCAAATCCCACGTTGGGTGTAGAGATTACTTAAAAATAAAATCTTTTTTTTTTTTTTTTAAGGACTCATAAATAAAGCCCAAAGTACTCAACATGATTTGACGTTCTCCTCTCTTGCCACCATCCCTCATCTAAGATGGTTCTCAAGAGACATCCGGGAATTATTTTCTTCTGAACAAAATCAGGTAAAACAGGATTCCTCAACCATGACATTATGTCGCTCTGAGCCCGACAGTTGTTGTGGGGATCTGTTTTGTGCATTGCAGCATCCCTGGCCCCGCCCCCTATCTACCACATGCCAGCAGCATGCCCCTACCCTCCAGTCCCGAAAACCAAAGCTGTCTCCCCTGGAGGACAAAGTCACATTGGTTAAGGACCACTGAGATGATGCTTATGAAGTCATTCTGTAGAACATGCAGTTTATAAAAATGGCATACTATTTAACAGTTTATATACAAACCCTTTACAACTGAGAATGACCTACTTACAGCTTAGGTAATTAGACAAAACTTGGGGATCAGGTAAGGGAAACAGAATGGAGAAAGAGGTCTTTGCTTCTCCCTGAAGAAGGAGATTCCTTCTGACCTTTTGCCTAAACTGCCCCTCCCTCCTGTGGGGGGACCAATTAGGGCAGGGAATGGGAGGCTGGATCAAACATACCCAGTTCCTATATCCAGGAGGGTCCGAGCAGATAAAGTGCCTTAAAGATCTGAGATACTTTCCTCTCCCCATTTGAAGTCAAGATATTAAGAAAGTAGAAAGAGATCTTTTCTCCTATATGCAAAATGATACAAAAGTCTGCTATAGCATCTTGGTAAATGTTGGAAAACCCCTGACTTGATGAGTTATAATCAATATTTAAAATAATTCATAGAGTACCTGATAAGATTCTCAAGGTGAGTATTTTGAAGAAAAAGGCAGCCTATATATAATATGATTGCTCTTACTTGGAACTTAAAGAACATTTTCAATATTTCTGAATCCAGCTTAAAAATTTTATTAATTGGGGTGCCTGGGTGGCGCAGTCGGTTAAGCATCCGACTTCATCCAGGTCACGATCTCGCGGTCCGTGAGTTCGAGCCCCGCGTCGGGCTCTGGGCTGATGGCTCAGAGCCTGGAGCCTGTTTCCGATTCTGTGTCTCCCTCTCTCTCTGCCCCTCCCCCGTTCATGCTCTGTCTCTCTCTGTCCCAAAAATAAATAAATGTTGAAAAAAAAATTAAAAAAAAAATTTTATTAAGAAAAACCATTAATGTATAGTGAAGGTTTAACTATTCCTATGTATAGCTATAGTCATCCATTTTATGAAACAACAATTTTTCTCTTGCTTCCTTTTCCATTGCAGAGGATTACGGAATTTCAAAACTGAAAAACGCTTCTGAATTTTTTAAGTTTTTAATCTTCTTGCGTCATGGGTCCTTTTGGCATTCTTGTAAAGCTTGTTGACCTCTTCTAGAATAATTTTTTTCGGGTTAATTAATTTTTTAATTTACATCCAAGTTAGTTAGCACATAGTGCAACAATGATTTCCTGAGTAGATTCCTTGATGTCCCTTACCCATTGAGCCCATCCCCGCTCCCACTACCCCTCCAGCAACCCTCTGTTTGTTCCGTGTAGTTTTTTTTTTTTAATTTTTTAACGTTTACTTATTATCGAGAGGCAGAGAAGGAGCATGAGAGGAGCAGAGAGAGGGGGAGACACAGAATCTGAAGCAGTCTCCAGGATCCAGCTGTTAGCACAGAGCCCGATATGGGGCTTGAACTCATGAACTGAGAGATCATGACCTGAGCCAAAGTCAGACGCCTAACTGACTGAGCCACCCAGGTGCCCCGTTTGTTGCCTATATTTAAGAGTCTTTTATGTTTTGTCCCCTCCCTATTTTCTATTATTTTTGCTTCCCTTCCCTTACAGAATAATATTTAAAAAAATTTTTTTTCAACGTTTATTTATTTTTGGGACAGAGAGAGACAGAGCATGAACGGGCGAGGGGCAGAGAGAGAGGGAGACACAGAATCGGAAACAGGCTCCAGGCTCTGAGCCATCAGCCCAGAGCCCGACGCGGGGCTCGAACTCACGGACCGTGAGATCGTGACCTGGTTGAAGTCGGACGCTTAACCGACTGCGCCACCCAGGCACCCCCAGAATAATATTTTTAAATGCATAAAATAAAATGCCTAAGATTCCAGAAATGTCAATCATGTTGAGATAAAGTTATCAATATACATTATTGATATTTATCAATATATATTATTGATATATTATTGTTTATTTTTATGTTTTTCATTCTGATAAAACACACATAACTTAAAACTTGCCATCTTAACCATTTTTATTTTTATTTATTTTTTAACATTTATTTATTTTTGAGACAGAGAGAGAGCATGAACAGGGGAGGGTAAGAGAAAGAGGGAGACACAGAATCTGAAACAGGCTCCAGGCTCTGAGCTGTCAGCACAGAGCCCGATGCGGGGCTCCAACCCACTGACCGTGAGATCATGACCTGAGCCGAAGTCGGACGCTCAACCGACTGAGCCACCCAGGCGCCCCTTAATCATTTTTAAATATACCGGTTGAGTGACATTAAGTCCATTCGCTCTGTTATGCAACCATCACCACCATCCATCTCCAGAACTATTTTCATCTTGCAAAACAAACTCTGTACCCATTAACCAATAAGTCCCCATTCTTCCCAGTCCCCCAAGCCCCTGGCCACCACTATTCTACTTTCTGTCCATAGGAATTTGACTACTTTTATTACCTCACACAAATGGAATCATGCAGCATTTGCCCTTTTGTGACTGGCTTATTTTACTTTGCATAATGTCCTCAGTATTCATCCATGTTGTAGCCTGAGTCGGAATTTCCATCCTTTTAATGCCTGAATAGTATTCCAGTTTGCTTAGCCATTCATTTGTCGATGAACATTTGGGTTATTTCTACTTTTTGGCTATTGTGAATATTGCTGCTGTGAACGTGGGCATACAAATGTCTGTCTGAGTCCCTGTTTTTGATTCTTTTGGGCATACACCCAAAACTAGAGTTGCTGGATCATACAGCTATTCTATTTTTAATTTTTTGAGGACCCACCATACTGTTTTCCACAGTAGCTTCATATTTTACATTCCTACCAACAGTGCACGAAGGTGCCAATTTCTCCACATCCCCACCAACACTTGTTATTTTCTGATTTTTTAGTAGTAGCCATCGTAATGGGTATGAGGTAGAATTTTCAGTGTTTTTTTTTAAAACCAATTTGTAATATGGTAATATATATATGCTCTTTATTAACATATTAATTTTAAAAACTCTAAGAAGTTCTAATCCTTATCATAATTTCAAAGTAACAGTGAGCCCAAGCAATATTTCAAGATATCTGCAACAACTGTCATATAATATGAAGATGCCTATGGTTTCTATTGGTAACAAAACCCAGCTAATATACGGCAAATAATGCTGTAGCTTGTTGACGACATTCACAATGGGAGAAAATGCCCATTTTTGGTTAAAGGTTACTGGAAACAAAATGCAATATTTTCTCCCATACAAGTTTATAGACCCCCAGATATTATCTTTGAACATCTTGGGGGGCGAGGACCCCAGGTTAAGAATTACTGATCTAGTTTCTTTCTCATTTGATAGGTGAAGAGAGTGAGGCCTCCAGGCGTTAAGTGATTTGCCAAGAGTCGCAGTCACATAGCTGGTGACAGAGCTGGGACTAGAACTCAATTTCTCAGTTCCCAGTCCCATGTGTTCCTTATCCTAGACATCTCATGCAAAATGATCCCCACGTGAATCCCCTCTCTGTGCACCACAGCCTTTCGTGTACTCCTTTGCACACAGTAGGCTCAGTAAAAAGACAGGATGAATGGTGTATATTATAAACAAGAGAAACCAAATGCATTATGCGATCAGCACCCTTTGCTGAGAGTCTTAGTGTGGGGCTATTTGTTTTCTAGCCAGTGGCAACAATGGGATAGACATTACTATTTAATTTGTATGAATTTAAGAAAAGGAGATTAAAACTTGCAGGTGTTGTTTGCTTCCAACATACATATGTAACAAACATTTTTCCCCCCAGTGAATTAGTGAAAGGCTGATCTTTTAAAAATTTTTTT